AGGTAACACTTCCACTAACCGGTTCCTACTTGGACTTTCGGTGCTCGACCGCTTTAAGCGTGGAGACGACGCATCCCCAAGTAGTCGAGGCACTAGGGTTAGCGACCACGTTCTTAGGCGAAGTTCCTGGGTCGACGACTTGAGCAGTGCTCAAGACACCCAAGGGCCCTGAGAACGACCTAACCCTACTTGACTTGGTAGGATAGGTAGTTACCTAACATTAACCTTCCGTGGTTTTACTAAAAATTCGTGCTAGTCTAACCTAACGTGTCTAAGCGGAGGTATTAAGGAGGGAAAATTTAAATTGTCATTTATGTAAAATTTTCTATTAAACAAAGGCGGATGAATTTTAAGTAAATTCTAAATTATCAAGTATATTATATATTTTCTTTTTTCATTATTAACGTAAATAATCGTGATTACTCAAATATAATTAATACATGTAGAAATTCAAGATACAATTTCCTTAGAATCGTAAGATTGAATAAATATAAGATAATTAAAAATAAATTGATTGTACTTATTTGAGCAAACCTTTCCCTCCACGTATGATTGCGAGTTCCTTTTATATAGTTTAAGATAAAAACTAGAATAATAGCTGTTAAGATATTTATGAAATTGTTTATATGAAATGAGAATATTGCCTGTACCCAAAAAAAGGGCAGGAATAAATTAAAAAAGATATTAGATTTAGAAAGATATTGAATAAGTTAAAAAAGACATCAAATTAATTAACTTAAGGGAATATTCAGGGAACGATGAGAATTCAATAAAGTAATAATCAAAAAACAATTGCTGTATATTGTGCAGGAATTAATTGATTATTCAATAGATAAATTTTGAAACTTGATAATAATTATTTTTAAATATTGTATATAATCGGCAATCTGAGCAACTTCGCTCTTTTACACAGGGCAACGAACCCGCCCTCCGACATATAAACACTAACATTGTTTGTGTGTTGGTTCCTAATCTTAGAGTTTTCTTGGTAAAGATAATATTCTTAAGCCGATTGTTACCACCACCAATTAACCGGGGCTATACTCAAAGAAAGAGAAGTCGTACTACCGATTCGTGGATTTAAAGTTTTCGAGTGTAATGAATTGAGAGCCAAAAGATTATCGTAATGTGTATTTCCTAATTAAGTCGAATACGAGTTAATTACGTATTTCAAAAGCTTATGTCAATTATATATCTAAGTGTCAACAATTTTCCAACAATTATGATTCTAGTTAAATTCTACAATGTGTCAGAGACATGGCACAGTTCAATCAAGCCAGCAACTATGTGTTGGCACACTGGCGTACAACTAACGACAGCATAGTGCCTCTAAAGAGCGCAATTCATACAGTCGCACCTGGCGGCGGTCATGGCTGAACGGTTGGTGTAAAGTTTCGCGAATCCTTAGTTGATGGGTTCGAGCTCCTGCTCCGTCTTTTTGGTGGAGCATTTCACTGCAATATTTTGGACTCATTAATCCATTCATTTAATAAATCGGAAGTATCTGCTCTCCATCTACACAAGAATTTCCGAAGCTTGTTCCGTAAAAAATGTGAACTGGAAACTGTCGATGATTGAAATTTTTGCACCGCTTTCGAGGCATAGCGTTATCTTTCGAAAATTATTTTTGAAAGTAAATATCACCGTATAATGTTTATTGTATTTGATTCAAAAATTGATTAGTACGATATTTTAAGGCAAGAAAAAAAGCAAGTTGAACATTTTTGTATACCAATTAAAGACAAATTCAATATTGTGTTAATAGAATTTGAATATTACGATAAAAAAAAAGAAAATTTGATTTTATGAGTGTGTATTTGAATGAAAAGTATTCTTTTTTAAAGAATCTGCTTATCATCTGTTAATTTTACACAGTGGCTCTACTTTCATTTTTTACATTATTACAAATTGTCATTTTCTGCGGTAGTAAAAATGATTTGAATAGCGTGAAAGATTTTCTCATTAGTTAAAACAAAAATGTAAGGTATTTCCATCGGTAAGAGAGAGAAAGGACGATTTTAGAAAAAGATAGATAATATGAACGATTCTGTGGGTAAGAAATGTGGCAACGTTAAACGCATGAAGTAGATAGCTAGCTTCACGAGAGTCAGCTATTGCAAGATTTTATATTTTTATTTTATATTATGCAAGACTAAAGGTTACGATTGTTCTCTGAAGTATTAGACGTAGGACATCGATGTAAATAATATCGTAAATAATGTCAGATCAGCTCCCTTTTAAGAGAAAGTTTATCTCTAATGAGCAATTAAATAACAGATTGACGGCTGTTGCTGGTATAAAAAAAGCTTGAGAAAAACGGGGGGTAGAAAAAAAATGTCAACAGACAGTTCCAATGAATACATTTGTAAAGGCAGATGTATTGTGGATTTTCAGCACTTATCATAGGAATTAAAATACAACTCTTACTATAAACACTAATATCTCGAAGATATCAAATATAAAATTAAAGAGGGTCAGCACTATATATTAAGAATCAACTGCCATTTATGCAATACTATCATTAAAGTTAAAACATATACAACACACGTATTCAATCGTGAGTCACTGCAGGTTTCAAAGTATAAGAAACAGTGATGCAGAATGATGAAACAACAAAAGTTATATTAAGTAAAAACCCTCACATGAACTATAGCAATAATGTACAGGAAGATTTAACAAACAATTATTTACAACAGCTATTCACAGCATAGATGGTCAAATAATTAAAACAAATTTTTGCCGGCCTAAATATACTATCAATGAGTAATAGTATTAATCAAAGGTATAAAAAAAAAGCTGGTCCAGCTATCGAAGCCATTGCGAAAGGAAAGTTTTACGAAGCCAGCAAGTAAAGAAAGAAAGCTAGTTATCAGCAAAATTGGTAAGTTACTTAAACAATTGTAAGATGATTCTGTTGCCTTCAATTACTTCTATTATTTTCAAATCTTATTTATATTTCAGTATATTTTTATAAGTAAGTATGAAGAGAAAGCAGTTAGTATAGGATAACCAACGACAAACAGTTTTTATCAGTTTTGAAATAAGGTATAATTCATATTTTTTGTTTTTTTTTTAAATGAAAAAGTAACAATATTTTCTATTTTATCCTACAATATCCTTTTTCTCGTTTAGTTTTTAACTCTTGCGATTAGGATAACAGTCAAGGCTCTATTTACAGTCATGTTAATTAAATAAAATAATCAAGATCTAAAGAATAGATTCTGATGTAACTGACGTTGAAAAATACTTTTTATATGATGTCATGTTATATAATTTTTGTAAGATCAATAAATAATATTTATTGTTATTCATGCAGGCCTCCAAAACATGAAAAATAATATTTGTAATAACATAAATAGAGTGTAAATCGAACCTAAGATTAGTCAAAAAAATTTTGATGAAAACATCAACCAAATTGTCAATCTTATTGCTTGCTATGTCATGGATTGGTCTAAAATAGGCAATAGACGTAATTGTGACAACTTGAACGGATGTGGAGCCATAATTAGATTTTTAAGTGGTGAAACTTTAGACTGTACGGCTCGTAATCAAAAATATAAGAAATGTCAAATAGGAAGTACGACATTAGACTTTGTCTGACGTCTCACTACTGTAGATTAGCTGGATCTATGGAAGTAGATGATAGTGCAAATTTAGTGAATAAAAGTAAAGATTTGAGAAATAATTTAAGAGTAATCGATGTAGTTGGTGATGATGATAGTCGCCCAAGTAGCTCATTCTTAGTTTTGGGAAGCAGACCCATGCACTTCTTACGCACTGTTTACGCAAGTACGTTAAAATTGCGTAAAAAGTGTGTGGGTCTGCTTCCCAAAGCTTACAATTTCTTACTAGGGCATGCTGTCAAGTGAGTCCGAGAACAAGGCTGGATCAAGTTCATAAGTTGTATGATTAAAAACACTTTTAAAAAATCGTCTGAAAAACACTGTACAAATGACTATTATAGTTTTCAGAGTTAAGAAAAAAAGATTTGATCACTTATATTTTACGATGTTTTACTTGTGTGTTGTCAAAAAATAAAGGTTAGCTGAAGAGTCTAGTAAAAGATTTGTCAAGTATGCCAGATCATTTTTTTGTAACCATGAAAAACATCCAAACTGCAATGATAAAAATAAACATAAAATTGTTTAAAAAAATGTAAAATTAAAATTTGCATTGCCAAATTTATGTTCCATATATGCCAGTAATTATGAAAAGTGTGCACTCTTCTGAGTATGCACAGTGTGCATATTTAGAAATAACCGTGTAAAAAATCTTAGTGCGTTTTATATTACCATATAAAGAAAGTCTTAGTAAGTTTATCATTTTTTATCTACGTTTAATTCTGAAAAATCTACCATGTCTGCATCGACACAATCTGATGAGGCATTAAATACAATGATTTCTAGGAATCTTTAAAAAAATTAATGTTTAAGTACCAAGCCATCAGGTAAATTTCGTGTAGCTAGAGCAGTTTTAACAAAAAACGAGGCTCATGTGACCTTGACATGTTAGTACCAAGTTGAATGTCTCCCCTGGAATGCATACAGAAAAATTCGCCAAGTGTAGAAATTATTTAAGGTTTGATAAAAATTTAAGATCAAAAACAATAATGGAAATAGCGTAAAGCAATGCACTGCAAAAAAAAAGGGAAGTTTTGAAAAAATCAGTTAAAACCGTTGAAGGTATTACGTGCAAAAACAATATTGGCATAAATTGGATAAAACAACAAGTCTTAATTAACTACAACAACAATTAAAATTAGATAGTAGTTTGTATTATAAAAATTTTCAAACTGTTTACTTTTATCTCGAAACGTCTGAAGCCATTATGGCCTTATGTTGCTCATAAGTGCAGCTATGACTCTAGATTATTAACAAAGGCAAAAATCCAGTGCAATATGAGCAACAGTATTGATAATATCATTCATGGTCTTTTGATTTTTATGTATTGTTAAAAAAAAAATCTTTCAGAAAGGACAGTAAGCGAGAAATTTTAATTGAACAATGGAACTAACGACACATTGAATAAATGGCTGTGATAAATGGCTGTGATAAATTTCATGAAGCTCTTTGTGATGCTATGTGCTTGGAAGCTCTAGGATGTGAATTATTATCATCACAACATTAAAAAAAAAAAATAAGAAATCGCTTACAACTTGCCATGATACCCTTCTTTTAAACAATAAAACGAAAAATAGGCTCAGTTTGTTTGAACCACTTAAAATGTTCTGAGTACTAGAATGTTAAATAAAATGGCATCATTTGAGTTCACATTCGTATTATTATAACAACTGTATGATAAAGATGGAAAAGAAACTTTAACTGATTATTTACCTAAAAAGTCCAACAATAAAGTAAGATTTACCAAAAAAAAAAAAAANTTTTATGAAAAAAATTCATGATATGTGATATAAACATTAGACATAATATGTGCTATTTATTTCACAGATATTTTTAAAAATTTCACCCACTCCCTTGCTCACTTCATACGAAAATTGGTAATATTTATTTTACATTTAAAAGTAACCATTTTGTAATATTCTTCTATTACTTTTTTTTTTTATATACACTCAAAAGTATTTGAATCACGCGATTAAAGTATTTTATTGTAAAAATATACAGGCATTGAGCACATTTCAATATATTACGAAGAAAATTGCTCAAATTTCTGCTTTTATACATGAAAATACTATAAAAAAACTTTAAATGTAATTGGTCATTAGTGCGTATGAAATTTATGCCCTTTTTCATGTAATATTACAATGTAATCGATAAATTGTTGTTTTTTTTTTTCGTTCTTTTATCATAAAGACCATCCATTAGTAATAAAGTATTTAAGATTTTTCATTCGCAACCTCACTCTATAGGGTTGCGCTATCACATTTGGATGCATAAGAGTCGCCAGCGATTTTACGAAACTGCTCGTACATCGTCTTACCAGTTTCCCTCACCAGCTGAGAAAATGGTCCGTATTCATTTTGCAATAGCACATGTGGATGGTCGTACTCCTAAGGAGTTAAAAAAAATCATCACCATCCAAAACTTTGACAACGACAGCATTTATCAAGCATATGTCTTACCACAAGTCTGCCTTTGTCCATCACCAGCACCTTGTCGCTGTCCATTATGGTGTTAAGTCTGTGGGCTACCGTCAATACGGTACACTTGGCGAATTTGGTGCGTATGGTACGTTGAATCAAAGCGTCCGTTTGCGGATCAACGTTGGCAGTGGCTTCGTCCAGCATCAAAATTTTGTTATTGCGCAGTATAGCTCGAGCTAGACAGATGAGCTGTCGTTGTCCCACACTGTAATTCGCGCCGCGATCCATCACCCTGTTGTCCAGCCCATTGCCAGTCGCCACGACCGCGTCCTTCATTTCTACCTAAGAACACACGTTTTTCATCACAGACATTTGGTACAGAATGTAAAAGGATGTGATAATGCATGGGGGAAAAGTCTACCTCTTCCAGGACCGTCCACAGGGTTTTGTCTTCGAACTCGTTGAAAGGATCGAGGTTGCGGCGTAACGTACCCGAGAAAAGAACGGGATCTTGTGGAATGATCGATACGTGCTTCCTCAAGTCCTCGAGGGCAATAGTCCCGGTGTCAATGCCGTCGATTTCTATGATACCCTCGACCTTGGCCAGTCTGAACAGGGCGGAAATGAGGGATGACTTACCGGCACCGGTTCTCCCGACTATGCCCACTTTCTCGCTCGGTCGAATCTTCAAAGTCAGGCCTTTAAGTACCGGTGGATCTTCGTCCGTGTACCTCATGTACACTGCCTTGAATTCGATGCACCCATCGCTGGGCCAGTCCTTTGGCACCTCGACCAGCTTCTCCTCTGACTCTTGCACCTTCTTCTTCTTCTTCTTTTTGTTCATTACAACGTCATTGTCTCGTAAATTGGGCTCGGGTGGCAATTTCGTGTATTCCAGCACTCGTTCCACCGACATTAACTGATTCGATACCTCGGCCGATTGACGCAGGCCCCATTGCACCATACCCGTCAGCATCATTACCTGCGTGATTGCCAGACCTACCAAAAGATAATGTTAATAATTTTGCGTTGAAAAAAAAAAAGGTAAATTAAATGTAAAAATCTCTCGATAATCGTCACCACGCGCATAAAACAATATTTGCGCATCAATGATTAAATTGAATATTAAAATGGTATATTAGACGATGAGTATAAAAATATACCTTTCGTGTTATAAAACATGTCAACCAATGAAAAAAAAAAAAATATATACTTAATAGCGTTGCTGATCATTTTTCACAAAAATAATGCAAAAACCTATAAAAATTAATGATTAATTTGTGAAGCGTCAGTTTTTTATTGTACTGTCTTATAATTGATGAAATATATTATTAAAACTTAGTCTATCTGAGTTTATGATACAAATTGAACGATAAGTTTAACCTTTTTTTCTAAAAATACTCGTATTTGTTTGCCAAGCATACTTTGACCTAGTTTTTGCTGTTTTTATTTATTTAGCAGTATACAAAATTGTACACATACATGCATACACTAATTTTTAACATTTACAAATTAAGTTATACACACATAAATGCAAACACATAGACACAACATATGTAGTCACCATTCACGCGTTTCCAACATTGCCCTACTTAGTATAACGTCCTTTAACCAGCTCATTTTTTGATACTAAAATAGCTTTCATTAAAAAACCATACGTACAATTTTGTTAACTCTGTTTTCTTTGTCTTCGTCTTTTTAATGCCTACTTTACGTAAAAATTGTAGAACAATGGTAAATGCTGTCTTAGAGATATTATATGATAAGTGCGATGTTAAGCACCAGTCCCCTTATTTATGTGTGAAAATCCATTTTCATTACTTTTTTGCCGAAGAACTTAAAGCACGAAAAATCTGCAAAGTTCAGGCATATCTGTGACATTCTAATTATTGATACTGCAAAGTCTCACAACTTTCGTAAGTAAAGTGCTATGTTAAGGGAACCACCTTAATAGTACTTTTTAATATTGCTTTATCTACGTATCGTACTTCTTCTTTTAAGATTCTTGAATGAGTATATTATTAGTGTAATTGAAACAGAGCATAAAATTTAAACGTTTTTTTCTGATTTAAAACCAAAGACTGATAAAAAATTTTATGACCCTGTTTTAGAATTGATGAACCAATTTATAACCCTTGATGACTATTTAATACATATTTTTTATGAATGTTCTTTGTACATCCCGCTCTTAAAGAAAGTTAGGCTCTTCTCTGATTGGTGAGAAATATTAAGAATTCTGACCCTTTACTGGCGAGAGTTCTGTCTGGTCTTACCTTTTCTGTACCCAGTAGATACCATACCTAACCAAGCTTAGACTAAATTTTATTCCTTGGTGGTCATAGTTTTAGGCACCTTATTTGTGAAGTGCTGAACGAATTATACGCAGCGCTGCATATGCTCTTTGATTACGGCAGTTTTCTGTGCAGATAACACATGCAATGGCCAAATTGATTCCAATTTGAGGTAGCTATAATAGCCCGTAGTTGTTGGAGTCCTAACTTGAGAATTTTTCCGTGTTTTTTCCACTAATTATCTATTATTGTAGTGCAACATAACAACAGATCCAATATGTTGAGTAAATACTGACAATAAAATTTTTACTATTTCTATAAAAGACAAAAAATTTAGAGCATCCATAATAAGAAATTCAAAATAACTGATTATTGTGTATTAATGCACTATTTAAGAAAAAAAGGATCCAGGCTTAGAGCATTTTTAAAGATTACCCTTTTTTTTATTAGGTACTTAGGTAAAAAAACTTTATGTGGTTCATCAAATATATGATCTAAAATTTTTTGACATTATTTTTCTCAGTTTTTGTGAGCAAAAACTCACAGAAATAAAGTGTATCAATGCTTAAAAGTTTAGAGTGCATGACGTGAGCAAGGTAATAAATTCTGGATCTGTTAAGGTACCTATTATTTCAGTAAAAACGAAATACTCCCACATACTCACGTTATTACTTCTTTTATGCTACACAATACTATAGAAAAAGAGTTGAAGTCACTCAGGATATCCTGCAACTTAGTTAATCGATCGACCATACATGGAGAAAGTTGTCAGGGCTCTAATACTCGGGGCTTGGGTACGGAAGAAAAGAGAGGAAGAGAGTGAGAGTTTGCATATATAGTTTGAACTCCACTACATATACATATAGTCAGTATAAAGTATTAGGTGTGCACATTGACGTGTGCTGATACTACCTGTAGCCTGGCCCGCAAAAAATCAGCTTTCTTATTAGAAAAAATACCAAGCCACGTATTTTTGTCTGCACTATTTGCTTATCCTAATACTGAGATATACACATACCTCAGTTTTAAGTGAGAACTTAAAAACCATTCGCAATTTGCAGACCACAGTTGAATCGCGCAATATCTCGAAAGTTAGGACGTCTTTCAACTGCACATAGTCTTAAAAAAATGCACATTGTCCAAACTTAACTGCACAATTGTAAGATTGATCTGCACAGTTTTGACTAATTATCAAGTTATTAATATCGTTGATCATGTGAACAGATAATAACGCAGATATTGCAACTGCATTGCGCATGTTCAGCTGGTGTCGTGTATGACAACCACTAGATAGCACAGGCACCAGGTATGAGGGTGGGGAATTTGAAACAATGTCAAATGTAATCTCATGCACTTTCACTTCCCTGTGTTAAATTAATATTAAATGTGGAATAGTCAACAACAAAAATCTTATTACGATGTTACGTTGTGTTTTGGTCTTTCAAGAAAAATAATCTAGATTGCAAAGCATTCATTACCTTAAATTTGGTGTGTGCCTCTATATATTGCTAGTAAAAATATTTTTAAAAGGAATTCTAAGCTGCTAAAGATTAACATGAGACATTAAGATCAGATTTTGTGTCACAAGAAAGCGTTAAATTTATCTACGAACGCAGACCAACCTACTTACTCAAACTGGTAAACTTGTCAAATATACATTATTTCAAAGTAAAAAGAATGTAGTTATTAATAAAAACAGCTGACAAAATATGCAAGTCATCTTTTGACAAGTCCCTTATAGCTTATAGAGATTCTTCCACATTTGTTCATTTTGCAGTGCTGTATGATTGTGTCATATTATATCAGGAATGTCTCATCCATTAAATTGATGGTGATGATGATAATGGTAATGATAATAATGATAATTATGATGATCATAACCATGATAATGACGATGATGATAATGATGATGATGACGATGACGATGATGATGTTGAAGATGATGGCGAAGATGATGATGATGATGTTGACGATGATGATGATGGTAATGATGATGATGATGATGATGATGATGATGATGATGATGATGATGATGATGATGATGATGATGATGATGATGATGATGATGATGATAATGATGATGATGATGATGATGATGATGATGATGATGATGATGATGATGATGATGATGATGATGATAATGATGATGATGATGGTGTTGGTAGTGGTGGGGGTGATGGTGGTGGTAATGACAGTTGTTATTGTTAATATTATTATGACTATTATCACAGACCTTGATTTATGTATAATGTGGCACAAGGTGACGATCTTGATTTGTTCGTGCAAACGATTGAAGTCGATGTTGACCTGACGACTAGTACGATCATAGTTAGAGCGACAAACTTAGATCATAACTGGACAAAACGGAGAAAAAAGCCTCACGTAGTATGACGATGACTCTGCAGGTCAACTAGGAGACAAGTTTCAGAGGCCGACAGATGATGGTAATACCAATACTGCCACTAGCATCGCAGACTATTGCAAACGTAGAGATAATAGTGCAAGATTCGAGGCGTATCTGATAAAAGAAATGATTTTAATCAATCCAAAAGAACTGCTTAAGTTACCTACGTAGCCGTGTAAAAATATCTTGAACATACTTGATCAATGACTGGTAAGGTGAAATAATTTATGTATAGTCCAAGATTGCAAAATAGGAGTAGTTGCAGAAGTAGCCCTGACAGCAGCTTCGGAGATCCAAGTTTGACTGAAGTGGTGTTATGCAAAAAAAACTTTTGCATCCACACTTAGTAGTTGAAAATGATAAAAGATTTTTTTTAATGAAATCAGTTACACTTTTAATATCATTTAGCTTGCTGCTATCACCTAATTCGGAATCACCACTTTTTATTTCTTTGTTTTTGTTTCTCTATTCTTAAGTAGCAGTGAGATGATCAGTATCTACTAGTGGAGTCCTTTTTTTAATGTAACCGCAGTAAAAGCTTAATGGTTCATTATTTCAGACCAAATGGTTTTAATTTCTTTATTTATTTCTTGACAATGTTTAGTAAGAAGCAAATATAATTTTTCTGGTGTTTTATTTTTAATTACATGCTTTTTTATTAGCTGGAAGTATGCTTCAGATATAGCTGAAGTAGTAACGACGCTTTGATTTTCGAACTATGAGTTCATCCAATTTGTCGAGCAAGAAAATTCCTTGCACAAAGACAGAGGGTGATAACCAAAATCAGGTGAAAAGTAAACGTTTTTTCAATCCAGATAACTTTAGCAGCTATGATGATCTAAGGATTTCACACTACTTTGAATATTTTGTATAAATTAATCCACTACACTTTTTACCTATTTGTTTTTATAATATTCTTCAATGTATTCAAAGTCATCTATAAAATTGTTTTTAGAATTTTTGTACAATCATAGTTTACAGCATCATCGTACTGATAAGTGTGAAGTCTCTCTATTATAAGCTTAAATGCTTTTGCATACTCATCAATGAAAAATTTGTTGTAGCAAAATGTAAATATGTTGCTTGAAAATAAGGTAAAGTTTTGTACATTTTCTACTACAGACAGAGGTTTACCACATCTTTTATAGATTTTTTTGATTTAAGATACAGCATGATTTTTTAAACATGGCTATTGTATGACTGCATAAACGAAATGGGCTATATAAGTTCTCAGTTAAGTATTTAGCTACATACACGTATTACCTAACAGAATCAATAAATAATACTCATTA